CTTATTTGTGTCTATCTCATTCCCCAGCCCTGCAGTAGAATGTAAGCTCCTTGAGGGCAGCTGCTCAGGTACCTAGCATATACTTTTGCCTATACATTACTTTTGCATGGTAGAGTCACCTTATTCTGCCTCTAGAACACTTGTAAAAATAATCTGACAACCAGCAGAGACCTTTCTCCTATGTCCAGCACATGTGTCAGGAGAGACTATTCCCCTGTGGCCAGATAGTGAGAGGAGCAGGAACATGTATCGTGTACTTTGGAAATAATTAAGTCCTCTGTGCCTGTATGCCATTTTAAAAAATCATGGTGTTCGTTCGTTCCACGTCTTAGGTTTAACTCACTCCTTTGTGTCACTGGCCTGCTTCTTCATGTCTAATTGCTTTGTACACCCGACGATATAGAAACAGAGCCAGTTGACAGCTGGGGGACATTTCCAAATGGATGCTCTGTGTAAAGTTTACATTTGAGCATTGATTTGGCTAATGTGTCATTGTTTTTGTTAACATATTTCTTTTTCATCATTTTTTCCTGCATTTTCTAGAAACATCTTCTAATTATCAGCACCAGATTTTCACAGTAATCGTTATAAAAGCTCGTGTGAAAATTAGATGATAGCACTTTTTTTATTTATGTGATGTGTGTCTGTGAACTGGTTGCCTCTTTGTGGACAGAGCCAGGTTTTATCTAAATTACAGCTAATGTCATGTGGACTCTGGTACTTGCTTTTTAAGGGGCATAATTATTCCTCGTCTTTCCCTTCATAATACTTTCTACTAATTAGATTCAGCAGCCATGCGTCAGTGCCCACTTTGTGCAAGGTACTGCGTATAACAAGTCAGAAGCAAGATAGTCACTACCCTCCACTGAGAGGATATGTTATATACAGAAACATAGGGCAAAATTTGTGGTGAAAAAGGCTGAGGGAAGTTCAAAGTGCTCTTAGAATTTGGGGCGAGGGGGAAAACACACTAATGTCTTGGCTACATGGTAGAGGTTATACTTGATCTGAGCCTTGAAGGAAAATTGTCAGAATGATTTCTAGTCATTGGAAAGAGAACAATACCCAGAGTCAGATGAGATTTGGTTCTACTACATACCTGTGTGATCTTGGACACCTGGAGTCAGGAAGACAGGAGTTCAAATGTGACCTCAGACACGAATGAACTTGAGCAAGTCACTTAACTTCTAACTGCCTTAGTTTCCTCATCTTTAAACGAGAGAGGATTTACCTCCCAGGGTTTTTTGTTGTGGTTGCTGTTGAGGATAAGATGAGATAATATTTGTAAAACACTTTGGAAACCTTAAAGCAGTGTATAAATGCTAGCTATTAATCATATTACTGTTATAAAAATTAAGCATAACACTACAGCAGAATCATAGTTTGATGAGGTAAGTCACTCAGCCTCTGTGCCTCAGTTTCCTCATCTGTAAAATGATGGGAGTTGGGCCCGGTGACAGTGGAGGACGCATCCAGCCCTAAATTTATGTTCCTATATTGGTTTTGGAAGGGATCTCAGAAGTCACATGGTCCAAAAAGTCCTGAACAGAAATTCCCTTTACAATATTCTAAATAAATAGTTATCCAGCTTTCACTTGAAGAGGAGCTGCTGTGAGAAACCCCCTTCAGTCGTGTTTTGTCTTGTTCCATTCCTTAAATGATAAATTCCTCTGGTTACCTATCGAAGCCCCTTATAAAATTTCTGCCTCACTTCTGAAGTTTTCGATAGGTCCCTTTTACCTCTGGGATTAAATATGAACTGCTTACCCAGGCATTTAAACCCTTCCACAATCTGGTACCCACCTACTTTCTAGTCTTATTTAACTTTGCTCACTTTCCCCTGTGTTTCATTCTAGTCAAACTGGCCTTTTAGCAGTTCCCCAGAAACACCTTTCCATGTCTTTTCATGAATACCCTCTTCTCTCACATTTGGGATACTGATTCCCCTCTTCTTTACCTGAAAGAATGCCCAGATTTCTTCAAAACACTGCCTACGTGCCACCTGTACCGCAGGTCATTGAAAGGATAATGGTTTGGAAACTGTAAAATATTCTGTAAATATGTAGTTATTTTCGTTGGAAGTAGTCTGTCAAAAATGTGCTTTGAATTTTCCATCTCTAATGGGCAGCTAGGTCATCAATGGATAGACCACTGACCCTGGAGTCAGGAAGACCTGAGTTTAAATCTGGCCTCAAACACTTCCTAGCTAAGTGACCCTGGGCAAGTCACTTAACCCTGTCTGCCTCAATTCATTTGTAAAATGAGCTGGAGTAGGAAATGGCAAATCACTCTAGTCTCTTTGCCAAGAAAACCCCAGAGTCACAAAGATTCAGACATGACTGAACGACAGCAAACTAGATAATGGCATAGCTACTTATAAAATTCAAGCCTGAAGATTAATGTCATTTGAGTTTTATGGTGGCTAATAATGAAATTTCATAGTTGGGACAGAATATTGGGTTGGTCATGGCTAGGGAGAGAGGTTTCTTTGCAGATGAAATGGAATCCTCAGCACATTCCTATGCACACCAAATGGCTAGGAGACCTTGAGTAAATTGAACGTGGGTTGTTGTTTGTCTCCACAAAACAAAGCCCTAAATCACATTTAGCATAATTTGTGGTTTTAAATTGGACTGATTTAGCAAGGAGAGTGAAATAATCTCTCATCCTGTCAAAAAAGGCGATACCTTCAGACCAGCATTTAATTGTATTGGCAGAGGGACTTTGGGAAAGCAGCAGTAATTCTGGCTGCAGTATTCTTGGTTTGTGGCTAAATCGAGATCATCATTTTCTACTGGTTTCACTAGCTTTCCTTACTGCTCTTAACACTACTAAGAGGAGTGCAGTGAAAGACACCATAGTGGTCTAAAAGACACAGAGCAAATAGTAGGAGATCTCTGGTACTGCACTTCAGAAGGCTTTGTTTTTAACCTGCGTGTCAGATAACGTCTTGTTAATAGATAAGACAGCTTGCAGCTACTCACCTGGCAAACATTTATTGAGTGCCTAATTTATACAAAGGATGCATTTAGATATTGTTTTTACTTAGCTTTGTTGTAGCGAGTATCCTTAAGTGAATGAGATTGAATCCTGTGGGCTTCTTTGTTATTTTGGCCATACCCAAAATGGCTGCTTTCTCTAGCAAAATTCTCTAGCAAAATACAAAGGCAATATAGAAAGTAAGTATCAGAAGGCACAATTTGAGATGCCTTCCAGCCCCCTAGATTTTCCATTAAAATTGACCAGTTTAGCCACCAGCTATGTCAGGAACAAAATCCAGATTTGGGCCATTGGCCTCCTGGAACACTGTCTTCTTTTTCTTTTTTTGTAGTTAATCCCACATTGATTCATGTTCTCCTGTAGTCTCTGGCGCCAAAGACAACATTCCCTTTCCTTCTACCCAACTCCCTCTCCCTCTAAAAGGAACCAGACCATGAATATGTGAGTTTTCATGAAAATGAAAATGAAAGTTATAGACTGAAGTCCTGGGGCTTGGCTTCATGCCCCAGATGCTTTACCATCTTCAGCTTTATCCCTACTGGGACCATGCCCAGTGTGGAAGGGCTGGTGAGAACTTCTCAAGAATGCCTGTTACTGTTTGCACACATACATGCATGTGCACGCACGCACACACACACACACACACACACATATACATATTTGCTATAGTGTCCAGGGAAGCACAGTCTCCTTCTCAGTTAAGGGACAGTAGTCAACCACGAAAGCCAGTTAACTTTTTTTACTTGCTACAACAGCACATGGCGATTTCACACTTTCTTGCCTCATTTATGGAGTCTTCATACATGGGAATGAGGCCAGAAATTCTTGATGTCCCTTGATTCAACCACCTGGACAGATAAGTAGTGCATTTATCCATTGGTAAGGTGGCATTGCTGGACTTGGAATCAGGAAAACCTTATTTCAAATCCTGCCTCAAACATTTAGTGAGCTGCGCACCCCTGGCAGGTCACTAGATGTGTGACTCCACAAGAGTCCCTTAGTCTTTCTGAATCGCAATTTCTGCATCTTCAAAAATCAGAATAATAATGGCAGGATTGTTCTCACAGGGTGGGCGTGAAAATTAGAGATATGTGTAAAATACTTTTCAGATCTTAAAATGTGAGCCATTATTATCTTTATTGATTTTATTGTTATTTGTAAGCATCCTTGTAACTGATTTAGGAGTTTTTTGATTTTTGTTGTTTTTTTTAATCTGTATTCAAAATATACCCTTCAGGTCCTTAGTGTTTTCCTGAGACCTTTGATCGGCACAATAGCATTCATATCGTGCTGCTGAGTTGGTTTTTCATATTTCTAGATAATAACCATGCATTGATCTGTTGCTAATCTGATGTAACCTTTTTTTGTGTGTATTGATCATAATCTTTTACCCAGGAGAAAACCAGAAAACTGGCTTGGTTGAACAGTTCATCGTTTAAGATGGAACTTAAATTGTTGTGATTCAGTGAAATGTTAAGCAGACAGCTATTCAGGTGTTAGATTGTTTAAATAGTCAGATGGGTAGGTCATTCCCCCAGGAGGGGATTTGGGCTTCTACTCTTTCTTTTCAGGGAAGCCCTTACATTTAAAAAAAAAAAAGAAAGTTCATTAAAGAAGAGATAAAAAGTGTGCTTGTACAAGGCTCCCGATTGTTCCTTCAGCTGGCTGTGTATTTCTGGCACTGCAGTATTCTCGTGATAGGTTTGTTGTTGTTGTTGGGGGGTTTTTTTTGCATTTTTCTGCATTTTTCTCTTCATCTCTTCTACGCCATCTATGTTTGTTAAGCATATTCTTGTGAGAAAGTATATTTGCACAGCACCAAAGTGGAAGATTATTTCTTGGAGGATGCAGAACCAAAAGTGATGTTAACAGACAGTTACATGTGAAAGAGATGGTCACATTGGAGTCACACCTCTCTTTCATTTAAAAAAAAATGTGTTGCTGGCGTCCTTGCCGGGAGTCAGGTTTCTGTGTTCACGCTCAGCATTTTGTTTCCACAGCTGTGCCTCCAAACGTAGCAGAACTGAAGAATCTGGAAGTGCTGAACTTTTTCAATAACCAAATTGAAGAGCTGCCCACACAGATCAGCAGCCTCCAGAAACTCAAACATCTGAACCTTGGGTGCGTACCCAGAGAAGGGAGGAAGAGCAGAGGATGCGGCCAGTGGGGGAGGAGCTGTTAAAATAGCGATGACATTCACAAGGCCTTTTGCATCTAACATTTTGAAAGTTTGGTTTTTAAGGGTTTATTACTCTGATACAGTCTTTGAAAAGGCCCACCTGGTATGCATTTCTTTGGTAGCTAATTGAGAAGTTAATTGGTGGGAGCAGTGATAGAAACATTTTGTTATATTTTTTTCCCCAATAAAATTTTGTTTCACTTAGGCATGACCAAGGTGCTTATCTACTAATGTACAATGTTACTGTACTTTGGGGTGCTTGATCAGGAGCTGTGGGGGTGGTAGTAACACAGCTGGGTTTTGTGTTGCATTTTTGAAACTAGGAAATGGTTCACTCTACACTCTTACTAAGGATCATAGGAGCCATTTTTTCATTTACTGCTTCATTAATTCTCACGACATTCCCATGAGAGAAGCTACAAAAGTGAAACGAGGATCATCCTGCACTTGAGGTTACAGAGACAGTGGTAAGGCTTAAGCTCTACAGAATTCTTGTGGATTTCACATGCTTGGAATAACCTCATGAGGTGGGGATTTTCCCTTTTTCGTAAGTGAGGAGATAAAGGCTCCATAAGTTCTGTGGTTTGCCTCTGTTACACGTCTCCAATGTGACCCAGGCCCAGTGAGGAACTGGATCCAGGTCCTATGACAGCTAGGCCGGGGGTTCTCCATGACACCACTTGGCCTCAGAAGAGAGCTTGGGTATTAAACCTTATATATTAAGCAAAACTGTTCGGTTCAAGCTATCATTCTCTGTATGGATTAGTTAAGTTGAGGGTTTCGGAAAAAAGACAATAGAAACTCTCCAGGTAAAGTATAAATTTAATATGAAGTAATAATGAAAATCATTTCATTCACTGAATTCATTGATTTTTTTTTTTAGTCTGTGGATTTGGTTGTAGGCTTTCTTTGTTTCTGAATGGAACTATAGCTGTGAAAGGAAACAAAAACCCTACAAAGTCTGCCAGCTGTCTGGAAAGGGAGCAGTGCCTAAAGGAGATATGGGATGGGCCTGCTTTTAGACCTGTTATTTTTCTTAGTTTTTGAAAAAAAAAATCTGCCATTTGTTGGGGGGTGGGGTAGGAGAAGGTGGGAGTGGTAAAGTAAGAGATAGGGAGGGAAAGTAGGCCAAAAAAGATCCAATGCAAATACTTTCTCCTTCCTCTCTTCCCCCTTCCACCCTTCCTTCTCTTCCTTCCCCCCTCCCTCCCTTCCCTCCTCTCCTTTTTTTTTTTCCTTTCTTCACTCCCTCCCACCCCACAGGTAGCTTTCTAAGAGTGTAAGTTACAGTGGAAGGAGTTTCCACACTGGGAGTTCCCTATACCAATGCCATTACAAATCTAGACCCCAAAACAGACCTCTGAGAATAGTTACAGTTCAGTGAACTCATCGAGCTGGTTTAAGAAAATCATTTTAAAAGATGTAAGGACCTTGTTTTCGTGAGCTCGGGACCAATTTTTCCACTTTTCCCCTTTATTTAGAGTGTGTTAGTTCTCTTGTTCTTTGTAACTGCTTGTGGTTTTTGCTTCTGATGTTTCATTGATTGAATAAAGGGCTCTATATGTAGTATTTTAAGGACAAGGGAGGAGTTTTTCAAGGGGGAACAAAACCGTTAAGTTGTAGAAGGGAATTAAAGACCAGTTTTAATAAGGAACGCATCTCTTCCTTTTCAAATGGCGTTAAAAGTCCTCCTGCATGAAGAGCACTGTTTCAGGTAAATTAAATGAAGGCATCCCTTATTGAGGTGAAAGGCACAGTGGAAAATGAGGCATGCATCAGAAATATATCAAGCGTATACTGTGATATAGCAAACTTGTCTTTATTCAGATAAGAACTTGAAGAACTAAAAGCACCAGCGTCTTTCATAGTATTGAACAGTGATAATTAATGTTCATGCCATTGACCTTCAAAGACCTGCAGGTCCAGATGCTGCCTACATTCTTAATTGTGAAGATAAATATAATATTGGGTCCAATTACAATTTATTTTCTTCTTCTAGTTCTTTAGAAACATAGGCTTCTTCCAGTTCTTAGAAATAAATGTAGGTTATTAGATTTGTGTTTTAATGAACCTTAAAGAACACTTGATTTCTCATGTATTCTGGATAAATAGGAGTTTATTATACAGTCATCCACATACTGAAATGCAGCTTGCCCAGAGGAGGCAAGTCCATGCATACCTAAATGAACTTTTTGCTAACTATGGTATTAAGCACTCATGGATTTTGTGCTGAGAGATGTTTGTAGGTCATTGGGAGGTGAGAAAAATCATTGCCTCCTGTCCGTTCAGCCAAGAAGGCTTCATGAGGTAGTATGATTCCCAGTAGCCATTCAGGGAATTGGAGAGCTTGCCAAATTCAGTCCCGTGTGGTACTCAAAACTTTGGGAGCACAGATGAAAACAGCATCTGTATTGGCCGAGTTTAGGGAGTCAGAGGGGGGCAGGAGGAGATAAGAGAAATAGAGTTCAATTCGACAAGCACTGTAGTAAGAGCTGGAGATACTTGGACCAAAACTGAACTTTTCCTGTCATCCAGGAGGTTGTGTTCTATTAAGTTCTGAATGATCCAGTGGAAAGAGCCCTGCAAGGGTCTGGAGCCAGATCCCACCTCTGATGCGCTCTATCTCACTGTCTTTGGTCACTTCTTTGACCTCAGTTTTCTTGTGAGTGAAATGAACAGGTTGGACAAAATGGCTTCGGAGGTCCTCTCCAGCTCTTTATCTGTCATCCCAGTATAAAGAAATACAGGATAATTTAGGGAGAGTGAGAGCAGTGACAACTCAACAGAATCAAGAAAGATTTCCTGTAAGGAAGCTAAGATTCTGGAAGGCAGAGGTCAAGAGAGAGGGCACTCCTGGCTTGGGGGTGGGGGTGGGGAGATGCACTGAACCGTGGCAAAGTCAAGAAGCAGGAGCTGGAAAGCCTGGTTTGGGGAAGACTTTGCAAAACCGTTGAGATGAAGCTAGAGTGTGTGTAAAGGGGGAATAATGTAAAATAAGTCTGGAAGGGTCATTTAGAGTGAAGGACTTTGAAGCAGAGATTAAGTCTGCGTCTCCACAAGACGCCTGAAATAAGACTGGAATCTACCTGGCGGACCCTCAAAAGTGGAAATCCTTTGTTTTGAGAAGTGGCTGAGAGTCCTCATCCTGTATTTGGGCATGGGAGTTGAATGGATTAGGGCCCATTAGCACCACAGTGCCAGTTATTGTTAGCCCCAGACTATGCAGAATACTTCATGTCCTTGTGATCACCGAGTGGCTCTGCTTTTGTGTATGTTTGAAGGTGTTTCACTCACAAACCCACCTTCCACTTGGGGCCTTTCACTACCACATTTGTTAGAGCAGGGATTTTTAGCTTTTTGGTGGGCGTGGGCCCATTTGACAGTCTGGTGGAGCCATTAGATCCATACTCAGGATAATATTTTTAAATACATAAAATGCAACACGGAAGACTACAGAGGAAACCAATTATATCGAAATGCAGTTATCAAAATATTAAAGAAACAGGCTCATAAATCCCAGGTTAAGAATATCGGTGGTAGAGGCTTATGATTGTAGAGTAACCGACTTGGGAAACTTTTTTGCGTCTGTTTCTTTTTACAAATTAAAAAAAAATTTATAGTCATCTAAAAAACTTTATTGTCTTCTGCCTGCTTAGTCACAGAAGCAGGCCCTACACTCAGTCCCTAGCTCACTTCTCCAGATACCACAGAGGACCTCTTAAGTATTTTTTCCCCATGATGTGCATAGTCATTCCATTTAGCTAGATACAGAGCTCATGCAGTGTCTTTGTTCAGTCTCTAAAATCCTTCTTTCCAGAGATTTGTCTTACAATATGGGGGCGATTTCTTCTTACCCCGTGTGACACAGTCAGCGCCCCTCCCTCTAGATTCTGCCTTCCCTTTGTGTCTTAGCAGTAACTATAATCCTCCTTCATTACCATCTTTTCTTCTTTTCTTTTTGCTCCTTTTTCTAGACCACTAGAACCCAGTCCCACACAACCAAAAACCAGATTCCTTTGGGCAAGCCATTTAACTTTTCTTGGTCCTAGTTTCTTCATCTGCAAAACGAGGTATTTGGACTAGGTGGCATTTTTGATTTGACCTGCAATCAAGCCCTAGAATGTTGCTACATTCTTTGTCAAGCAGACAAAGAGTGGCTGTCATTGCTTTCCTTGGGCCACCAGGTCCATGATCAGATTTGACATCCTTGGCTCTGAGCCGGTTCTTACCCGGGTCTAAATTTCCTTAAGCCAGTGTAATTCTTTCGCCTGCCTTAGCAGAGGACATCCTGCTTAGCTGACGATCCCATCTGAAGCTTATCCAGGCTGCAACTGGGACTGGTGGAGGCATTCTCTGTGACCGCTTTGGCTCTCTCTTCTCTTCACAGTACAGCTCAAGCATTTGGTTAAGCAGCAACCATCCATCTGCAAGACAGGCTGCTAGGCTTCCTAGCCGCCCGCCTTCGAAGTTGTGCCTCTGTGGGTCCTGGACCTGTTCCTTTGGCCGGCCCTGCTTGTGGGCCTCCCACGTACACAGGCGTCAGCACCAACTGTATTAATAACAGGAGTGACTGTTATCCCTTCAAATGGTGGACTTCAGAGTTCTGCTTTTTAGAAGAGGTTGCTTTTGAACCTAAAAACAAAAACCAAAAAACCCCCCCCAAAACCCCTCAAACCAAAAGCAGACAAAAAACCTAAACTAAATAGAACCTGCAATTTAGGTCAAATGTCAGCAGGTGGCAGCGGTGCCTCAGTCATGTTGTTTTCTTAATTATGAAACAGGTGCTTTCCCTGAGATTCAGATGGGACCTAATACCTACAGCCCCATTGAGCCAACCCCCTAGATTTATATCCATGGATTTTTTTTCACTCCTCCTTTGATATTTCAACAGATTTATGATCTTTACAGTGTGGGTGCCCCTTTCATCGCTGCGGATGGCTACTCATACATACCTTGTCGTCCTGGGAGACTCTTTTCTATATTCCTTCTTCTTTTAGTGCAGCTGGTATATTGGGAGCCTTCATCTTGATGTCCTGACATTACATGTTACTAGTGGAATGCGCCAACCATCCATTGGTTATCCCTTACAGTACAAGGCTGGTCCTCATCCTTTCCTGTTTGTGCATTTCTCTAATTCTATTCTTTATACCATTTCTCCTGCATACGACTACTTTGTAATCTGTGGCAGCATACTTATGCCCACCATGTACCTGTCCATGGTCCTTTCAGTGATCTGCAGACTCTGCTGTTCCAACACTGGGAGGCATTGAGAACAACCAGAAGAAAACCGATGTGAGAAAGAGAGGTTTCAGGGAAAAACTTAGTGCCATTAAAAAATACTCTGCAATTTCCTCAAGGAATTTCAGCCAACTTTGTTCCTCCTACTCAGTTCTCTAATAGTTAGCACTTCAGACTTTGAGTTACTCTACTTATAAAAATATAACGCTTTATTACGATAGTTGACCTTTTTTGTTTCAGAGTTTCCAAGTTTAGAGTTACATTTTAAATAAATAAATATCTGAGATATTATATTCAGTACCTTTCTCACTAATCTCTAACATGTCCTTTACCAAATAATCCTAAACTCCTTGTGCTGGAATTGAACATTTTATCTTCAGTCTTCCGCTCATCTCATTGCCAACTCAGCGTGGCTTTGGTTATTGTGGATGCTGGCTATCTCCTTTGCGTGTCAGCCACGCTTTATTTCCTTGGTTGAGACTCTTGAAGCTAAGAGAAAGAATGATTTTCTTTTGTATTTCTAACACTTAGGATACTTGTTCCATTTTCCCACGTGAAATAGTTAGGGAGCTGTATGTCTTGGCAAGCTTCAAACCTCCTTTGGCTTTCTTCTTTGCGTTAGAAGTTGGTAACTTTCTACTTTATTTTGCTTTATTTCCTATTCTTGAATCACCTTTTAAAAATAGCTTTTGAATGGGTGTAACTTGGCTTTCATACATCATGAGAAAATAGATTATAATGGAAATTACCTTTCATATCACATTCACTATCAGCTTCAAATATTGATCTGTAAACTTGTTTTTTTAAATGAACTTTTCAATTTATCTGCATAGCAAAGGTTCTTAAGCTTTTTTTGTGGCAGTCTAGTGAAGCCTATAGACCCTTTCTCAGAGTAATGTTTGTAACCTACATTCATAATAGAAAGAAATGTCCAATTTCATTTAGAAGTTAGTGGAAATAAAGATGTAATCTTTTTCACATTCGTGTTCACAGACCCCTCCTGAAGTCTTGGAAATTTATATTTATAAAAAAAACTTAAACTTTTAGGGGAGAAAAGGAAGGACAAGTGATTGAAGTAGTCAGTGATTGAAGTAGTCAGTGTGAGCACTAGCCTTGGCTATGCCTGTCTCCAGTTGTCTGGTTTGGGAGGTGGTGATGGGATTATGTTGAGCATCAGAAATCCTGAATTTGAATGTGGACTCTGCTGTACTTGTACAACATTGGACAAGTCTACTTCTGTAGGCTTCAGTTTCCCCATCTGAAAATTAAGCGACAAGACTATATCTCTGAAGATTGCATTCAACAGAGCACTACTCATCAAATGGACCAGCTTTCTTCTTTTTTTAAATTGTTTTATTTTTTCAATTAACAACAGTCTTCTTTTTCTCCTTTCCACCACCCCACCTCCCCATTTGAGAAATCAAGAAGCCCCTATTACGGACACGTACAGTCAAACAAAACAAATTCCTGAATTGGTGTCCAAATTATATTTGTTTCAGTGTGCTTCCTGAGTCCAGGAGGTGGATAGCATGTTTCATCATTAGTCCTCTGGAATCATCTGGGGTTGTGGTTTGTCATTCTGTTGATCAGAGTTCTTAAGTCTTTAAAAGGTTTTGTCTTTACATTATTGTTATAATTATATAAACTTCTCCTGCTTCTCCTCACCTCTCTCTCTGCATCAGTTCATACAGGTTTCTGAGAAGCCATCTCCATTATTATTTACAGCAGAATTGTATTCTGTCACCTTTATGTACTATAACTTGTTCAGTGAGTCTCCAATTAGTGCGCACCCCTACATTCTCAATTCTTTGCTCTGTTTCATGGAAGATCCATTTTTTTCTCCCATACGGTTATTCTCAGTTTTGCTGGTTAAATTATTTTTGAGCCAAGCATATAACCTTTGACCAGGAAGCTCTGAATTTTGATTATAGTGTTCCTGAGAATTTTCGTATTGGAGTTTCTTTCAGGTCACTGGTAAATTCTTTCTATTTTCACTTCAGTCTGTGATTCTAAAAGATCTGGGAAATTTTATTTTCTGATTTATTGAAAATTGATGTCTAAGCCAAAATTGACGTCTAAGCACCTTTTTTTGGTCATGGTAGTCCATTGATTCTTAAATTATCTCACTTCAATCTCTTTTTCAGGACAGTTCTTGCTAATGAGATAGCTTATATTTTCTTTATTTTTTTCTTCTGTTTTTTTTTTACTATAATATTTCTTGTATCATTATCATCTCTTTGATACATTTTAATTTTCAGTAAATTTGTGGCTTGGGTAAGATTTTGTACCTCTTGTACCATGCTATTAATTTCCTTTCCAATTCTTTCTTCCACAGCTTTCGTTTCTTTTCCATTTTTTTCTGCAGTGCTGTCATTTCATTTGCAAAAACATTTTAAACTCTTTAAAACTCTTGCTGAGTTTATTTCTTCCAGAAATTCTAGTTGATCTTGTTTCTAAGCTATGTTTTTCTTTCGGACTTTGCTTTTGGAAATTTTGGAGTCATTTTCTTCTTCTGGGTCTGTGTCTTGAGCATCTGTCACTATGATGGTTTCTTTATGTTTGGATTCTTTTTCCATTTGTTCATTTTTCCAACCTGCTTCCTGACAGCTGCCTTTATGTTAGGGCCAGTCTCTGCGTGTTTTCAGAGGGAATGTCTGGGATGGTCTTGTTGCTGCTTTCTTGAGGATATTGAGTTTTACATTACTCCAGGATCTCAGGGGCAGATCAAGCTTGTGACCTGCAAACCGTCAGTGTTCTCTAAGTGGTCTGATCCAGTGAAAAGTCTGATGTCTGTTCTCCTGGTCTGAGCTCTGCAAATTCCTAACCTAGGCTTGCATCTGAGCAGCACACCTGAGGATTTGTTCCCATTTGAGTTCCAGTAGACTGCTCCTGGACTCAACCACTCTCAGTCAACTGGAAAGTTCTTCTGGTTCAAAGTGACGGAATTACAGGTCCCCTTTGGCCTGGCATTCATGCCCTGGAAATTCTAAAGTAGGCTTCAGACTGGGATAGGGTTGGAAATGAGACCCTGCTTTGCTCCTGGGGCCCACAATCCCTCCTCACCTTGGAATTCCACCTTTAGACTCAGTCTACCTTGGATCTAAGATCCAAAATTGGGTAATGGGCCATAAAGCAACCAGTTGACAGTTATTCTTGCGCCTTGAATGTGTTTAGGTCCCCATTTTCTGGGCTTGGGACCTTTTCTTGCCTTGGGGCATAGCCTGCTCCTTGGCTAGATGACACCACAGGACCATTCATGATAATACTCCATTCCCAGACCTCTTTTTCTGTTTACCTCTGCCAACCTAGACAGGAAAAATAATTTTTTTTCCTTGTTCTTGGCTTTCCTGATCAGGACTTGTTCTGGTATATTTTCTAGATCTTTTTGGAGGAGATGTGAGATAGAGTCTAGCTATACTTCTTTTGATATCTTGGCTTCTGCTCAAACATGACCTCAGGTTTCTTAATATAGATTATTTAATTAAAATAACTAAGAAAGTGATCTTAGGATTACAGGGTGCTTCCAGGCTATACTTATGTAAGTATATATGGCTTATGGAATAGAGTAAGGAGAGAATATGATTATGACTGATATTCATAATAGCGTTGAGATCTTAGAGTGGAAAGAGCACTGACTTTTGAGCCAGAAATCCTGACTCATTATTACTACCTTTTTCGCGTTGGGCTAGTCATTTCCTCTCCACCCCCATCCCTATCCCCACCCTCAGTTTCTTGACTTTGGATTAGATGGACTTTGAGATGCAATTTTTTGTTTGGTCACCTGTGATATAGGTGTAGAATACATACCAGTATAGGAGCAGTTGTCTAATGGAATATGTTACATTTCTGAGATTTCTATATCTATATTGCCTAAACACTTGCTGCTTTTTCTTTTTTTTTTTTTTTTAAGTATGAACAGGCTAAATACTTTGCCCCGAGGATTTGGCTCTTTACCAGCCCTGGAGGTCCTTGACTTGACTTATAACAACTTGAATGAAAATTCTCTTCCTGGAAACTTCTTCTACCTTAGTAAGAAACTTTTAATTCTATAAATCTTTTTTAAAAGGCGCTTTGCGTTCTGAAAGTGAAATTTATTTGATAGAGCCCAAACTCCGAGAGAAATTATTGGGTATATATTTTTTTCTTCCCAGGGTCCTTTTGAATATTCTTTCATAGCTCAGCAGTATGCATATTTGATCTATAGTTACCTGACACTGTTGGGCCAAAGTGGACTTGCTTGGTAATGGCATATTAACTTTCCGTTATGGAATATTTTCCTGAGTATGATCAAATCACATATTTAGCTAGAAAGGGTGAAGAATTTGACTTTCATCTTAGGGAGTATATAACAAAGGACTCTCACCATCCTCTTGCTAATAACTCCTTTATGGGATCTGCCACAGAAGAACATTCTAAACTATTATGAATATAAATTTTTCTAATGAACTCTTTAAGGCATTAAACATTTCCCATCCAGGATTATTGTTTTAAACACTTGGGAAAGACTCTTTTTGAGTCTGGCGATTTTGTATAAAAGCATGTTTGACGATCTGATGGCACCAAGATCCTATCAGAGGGTCATGCGGCTAACATTTCTTCTGAGGAGGCAGAATACAATGGCCACAGTTCACCAAACCTGAGAAAATGCAGCCTAGTCTTAATTAAGAACTGAATTTAGTGATTGGCCTGGATCTATTGCTGTTGGGAATTGAGGCTTCGAGTTAATGTCATATTATGTTTAGCTATGAGTTGGCTTGCTTGAGCTACAGCTTAAATAGATTAATCTTCACAGCACATAAGAGACAACCTGGGTTCAAGACCTACCTCTGACACATCCTGACTCAGACTAGTCACTTCCCCTCTCAGTGCCCTAGGCCATTCTGAGATTTGAAGTTACCAAGCTACTGAGGAGTTGGTCAGCATTTGTGGAGGGATTTTCCATACCAGGCAGTCCCCACATGTGAATCCAGATCTTCAGCCACTCCTACTGCCACCAAAAAAAAAAAAAAGACTGCCATATTAAAGTACGAGCTAGATTGAACACAAAGTAGTCTTTCACCCTTTTTTTTTTATGATTTATACTACATTTAAGGATTTTGTATTCTTATGGTTATATTGTATCTAAAAATGCTTATTGTACAGTATTGTTAAAAAAAAAACTTTTGTTCATTTAGATAGATTCTGGATAAATAATAGTTTCTTGTATTTCATCCTTCCTGTTATTTTATTGTCTCTTCTGTCCTCTTTTTCCCCCCTTCTTGAAGCAGTGCATAATAATAATAGTAATTAGTCTGTGTGGAAATAAGGCCACAAAATTATAACCTTCATCATTAGTGAGGTGAACTGTTCTCATGGCCATGTTTAGAATTGTTTTGTGCAGGATTCTCTGTGCTCTGGATATCAGTAGGAAAGACACAGAAGCTTTCTTTGTGTAACTTGGATGCAGATGGACCGATAAATGGGCAGGAGAGCAATAGAGAATAATGTCCCTCTTTTCCGAAAGCCTAAGTGCTGAGACGAGGTGCCCCGGACCGCTCCTGCCAAGCAGGGTAGAAACTGTTAATTGTGTCCTTCCATTCTGATATACATGTCTTCCTTGCCCACAGCAGCAATACAATAAGCCAGTAAATCTAAGCTTGACCTGCTTCTTATGATTGCGAGCTCTAGGTACGTCAAAGGCTTTTCACCGAGTCAGGGTTATTAATCAAACCCAACTCTTTCATATTGATCAGACCTCAAACGGTTGGGTTCTGTGCCACCCTGTTTATATATTGCCGTTTAATTTGCAGCCACCCTGCGTGCACTTTATCTAAGTGACAACGATTTTGAAATCCTGCCGCCAGATATTGGGAAGCTCACAAAGTTGCAGATAGTAAGTAATTTATCTAAATTCTTAGAAAATCAATTCACTTTCGCAGCCCTTGTAGGAGTAGAATCGAGTCAATTTGAGAAGTCGTGGGGTTTGTTTTGCCAGGGATAAACCACTACACCTGATACTGTTTCTTGTTTATCCGCAAGACACTTGTAAATAAATTGAAAGGATTGAGCGGCGGGGAGGAGAGAGAGGGCAGTGAGGAGGATGAGAGTTTCTGTGGCATGCTTCTTTGTGGGAAAATTGTTCTCACAACTTTGTATTTTCTTGTAGCTCAGCCTTAGGGATAACGACCTGATCTCACTGCCAAAAGAAATTGGGGAACTTACACAGCTGAAGGAGCTGCACATCCAGGGGAACCGCCTGACTGTCCTTCCCCCCGAGCTTGGTAAGGCTGGACACGAATGGATTAGATGGTGCGTCGAAGTACTCCTCCCATGCGTGGCTTCTGGAGCCAGCCCCTGCTGGGACGCGGTTCTTAGGCTTGGGAGACGCCCCAGACACAGTTTCCAGCTTTCATGGAGACTTCTGGTTCTGTGTGTGTCAGGTACAAGTCAGCCCCTGGAGGGCAGCCTGCAGCCTTGAGGTCACAGGTTCCCCTCCCCTGCCCCAGGGGCTTTCCTGTGTCTCATCCAGAGCTGTTCCTATCCTGGTGGTGTGCTGCTTTGAAGTAGCTGCTCTTGGTGCAGGGATCACTCAGTCCAGTTTCTTCCTTGTCTCTCTCTCTCTCTCTCGCCCCCCGCCCCCAACCCTCTCCCCAAATAATTAATAGCTACTTGAGGATCAGGTCCGTGAGGGCTCTAAATGTAAAGTGGAAAGAGAGCCCTGGACTGAAAGTCAGGACCTTTAGGTTCTAGAGTCCCAGCTTGGCCCTTTTCCATGATGGGAAATGATCTGGTTTGGGGTTTTGAGGATCTGAGTTTGCATTCCAGTTCTACTACTTATTATCTGTGTGACCTCTCCTCTCTGTGTGTGCCTCATTGTCCTCAACTGTAAAAGGAAGGTGTTGGACTAGGTGACTTCTTGGGTCCTTTCTAGTTCTAAATTTATAATTTTGGTCTTATGAGCTTAGTAGCCATGAATCTTTACTCTCTGTGAATCTTCATTTCATCATCTGTAACATGAGGTTGTGGTAATAATTTTTGTGCTGGGGACTCTTGTGAGGATCAGATAAAGTAGTGGATGTAAGACATGTGAAAAACAGAAAGTGTTGGGTGGGGAGGGTGATGGTGATTGTTGCCATCTACCGGGCAGGTTAATCTGTCATCTGTCAGTCCAGTAAACCCTAATTGGAAGAGAATTTTTTGATCAATTCACTAGGTATTTATTAAATGTAAGACACTATGCTAAGTGAATGAAAAAGCATTTAATTGCTTTCTATATGCTAAACATTGGACCTACAAACAGAAAATTAGAATAGTCCCTGCCTCAAAGAACTTATTTTCTAATTGAGAGAAACAGTATATTCAACAGGGCCAGATGGAAAGGCCGGGTGGACTTTAGGGTACATTGGCCGGGTAGATAGATAACAAGGCACAGGATTCTTTAGCATTTACTAATACAGTGTATAGCAGGGCCCAGGAGTCCATAGGGGGCATCAGCAGAGCAGATGGTAAGGCCCTTGGACCTTACATTTTTAAAAAGTGTAAGATTTTCTTAAAGTGTAAGAGACAGCCTATATACTCAGTGAGCTTGCAGTTGAGTTAGGGACATAAGACATAAAAGTAGAAAAACAGCTAATTAAATTAAACTCATTATTGTTTGCTACAACTGCAGAAAGATGTCACTCAAGCCTTATTAAGCACCTACTATGTGCCAGGCATATACTAAGAAAGTGTACGATAAGCTGTCTAGTGAGTTATCAAAAGATAATGATAACTGTTAGTGTTGAGACCAATGAAGTATTGCTTTAGGTGGGGTGGCCTGAGACTTGAGGATTGAATTGAGTCTTGAAAAACAGGTATGATTTGGCTAGGTGATAGAGGGAAAGAAGAGAATATTCTAGGTGGGTAGAATATAGTCAACAAAAGTGTGGTATTAGGGAAGCATGAGTTATCCTTGAATAAGACAGTTTTCCTGGAACAAAAGATTTGGGAAAATAATAGTATATGTAGGTTGCCTATTGTGAAAGGCATTGAATGACAAGCTCGAGAGTTTTTACCTTGTAAATCATGGGGAAATCCATTGTAGGTTTTTGAGCAGGAGACTAACATGAGCAAAACAGTGATTTTAACCTTTGGAGGTTAATTTTAATACCATGATAAGTTGTACTTCTGTCTCTCCTAGGGGAGGAGAAAAGGGGTAGGACATTTATAATGTACTTTTCTGTTTGGGGAAATGCACTTAGGTTTTTAACATGGAAGTACCCTGCTGACCAGAGAATGGTAGCAGTTGTCTTTGATCACCATTCCATTCCTCTTGCATATGACAGCCAGCCATACTGGCTTCCTTGCTGTTCTGATCACACAGCACTCCTGTCTGTATGCCTTTACCTTAGCTGTCCCCATGTCCCCCACCTTAGCTCAAGGCCTGCCCTCTATATGTAGCTTTTCTCAATTCTCTCCTATCCCTCTCTTAGCTACTGGTTCAATATCTCCCCAAATTACCTTGTATATATTATGTATATACTTATATATGTACATGTGGTCTTCTCCAATAGAATGTAAGCTTCTTGGGGACAGGCACTATTTTCCCTTTTGTATCCACAGTGCTTAGCACTGAATTGCTTTCCAGAATGGTTGGATCAGTACACAGTTTCGCTAATAATGTGTTCATATGCCTACCCTTTCCACCGCCTCTCCCTCATTGACTGTTCCCATCTTTTACCATCTTTGCCCATTTGTGAGGTAGGAGGCAAAGCCTCAGAGTTGTTATGGTTTGAGCTTCTCTTGCAAGGAGTGATTTGGCCCAGTCTTTGTTATGAATGTCAAGAACTTGCAGCACTTTTTTTAAAAACTATTTGTTCATATCTTTTGATAGTTTCTTCATTGGAAAATGACCCTCCATCATGTTTGTGCGAGTTCTTTATATTTCTTGGATGAACTCTCATCAGAGATATTAAAGCAAAGATTTCCCCCCAAGTCAACAGCTTTCCTTACTAGCTTATTTCTGTTGACTTAAGTTATGTAAAAGTTTTTCAATTTGATGTAATTGAAATTTTCTATTTTATCTTTTATGATTGCCTCTGCCCTTTGTTTGGTTAAGGATTTTCTCCATAGTCATAACCACAAGAAGTAACTTATCTGGTTCTCCTCATTTTTTTTAATGGTGTGACATTTAATATTAAGTTTGTGTATCCATTTTGAGCTTGTTGTAGTATATAGTGTAAGTATAATTAGATGTAGATCTAATGTTCACCAAACTATTTTCCAGTTTTCCCAGAAGTTTTTGTCAAATAGGAAATCTTCCCAAAGCATTTTATGTTATCAGGTTCCAAAATGTGTGTAATAATGGAATTTGAGCATTGGAAGGGAGCTAAATGACCATCTAGTCCAATCTGTACATGAAAGGAGGAGTCACCATTGTAATATAATCAACAGATAGTCATCTATGCTTCTGCTGAAAACCTTAATAACTACCCTCCCTGTGGGATTATTCTTTACAGAAGTTGGCAGTAGGTATCTCAGTTGTCTCAGGCTTTTTAATTATACTACAGGTGCCCAGAGACAACCTTTCATGACTCTAACTCCTTAAGGTTAATTCTAGAGTATGGCAGAGATGTATTCAGAAATGATAAGGAGACCCTCATTCTTCTAGGGAATTTTTCTAGGGAATTAGGATACCTAATTATCTCTGGTGTCATCATTATTTAAAAAAAAAAGACCATTTCAGTCCAAGTGTATTCCATAGAACTTTGGAAATACTTAGCCACTTTCTTTACCTTGGCAAAATCCAAATTTTTAAAGTTAGGGTGTGATTAACCACTCTGCCTCCTTTAAAAAAATTGTGAAGCTAGCACCACTTAAATGTATGCTTGTTAATTAGGTGTTGGTAAGCTTTTTTAAAATTTAAAAAGTTTTAGTTTCTAACATAGAATTTCATTGTATTTCTTGTTATAATTCTGAGTGGTGCTCAGAACTCCAGAAAGATCATATATAGAAGCCCTTTTTTACCCTTGTGCTGGGCATGAGTCAAGAACACTGACCCTCGAGTCCCTACCTCCCTCATAAGGCATTTGGTGTTAAAAGCTTAGCCAGTAGTTTCCTGCCCCTAGATAGAGCAGGGAAGGGAGATCCTGATGGGGGATTCAACTTTAACCATCCTGAGGGAAGGAAAGCAAGGGGGTGGGGTGGGGCATATCTTCTATCCCCAACAACTACCCCAGAACTAAACGGTAGAATGAAAAACACTCAGGTTCTAGTGGTAGCTGTACCACTCTTTGTGAGGCCTAGAGCAAACCATTTTGCTCTGCCCCTCAGTTCTTTTGTCTTTGCAATGGAGGGCTTGCCCTATGATAGCAGAAAGGTCTCTTTCAGGTTTAAAATTCTGTGAGAAGAGGCCTAAAAATGTTAGTGTAAAAAATTCCAGCCTTAAAAAGATTAATCCTCAGTGACCTAGAAAATTCTGCTTTCCAAAAGGACTTATTCTCCAAGATGTTACTGCATTGCTGCTTGTTTTCCCATTATATTTTAGATTTCATAACTGCCAGAATTGCTGGCCAAGTCTAGAAGCTCTAACAACAATGATTTCCTCCTTTTTAATCATGTTTACGTTGAGTACCTAGGAGCATAGAGATATTGTTTGACCAATAAAATTGTAGCCTGTGATTTTCTGAAGAGGTAGGGTCAAGTTAGGGGAATAGTCTCAAATGATTTTCAAAAGGTCAGGCTGTGACCTATGATCCTGACCTAAGTTGTGAGCTCCATGAACTGGAATCCCATCTTCTCCTTTGTATCTCCTGAGAAGCCAAAACAGTGCTTTACAAGTAGAAGGTGCTCAGCAAATTGTTCTTTGACTGTCCTGTAGTAGAACTTATCCAATACAGAAGGATTAATAGGATTCCCTGTTTTCTGAGTCATAAAGAACATTGTACTCTACTTAATTTCCAATCTTCATGCATCTTTGCATTTGGCCCTAATTATAATTATAATTGCCCAGAATGCCGTTTTTAGGAGTCCTTTTGAGTTAGTATCTTCGTGGTAGAATGTTATCGTTGGAAAGCAACCTTCAGGACCAACCCATCTTACAGTTGAGAAGAAAGAAGTGAGCCAGCCCTTAGTCAGTGTGCTTTTGGGGGGGTCGTGACTTGGCTGAAGTCACTCAGCTCGTCAGTGGCAGAGCAGGGCTTAGAGCCGAGGTTTCCCGTCTGCTTCCAGTGCTCTTTCCACTGGGTAACATGGCCTGTCCCTTTATGGGGGCTCTTCCCTGTACATTTACAAGTCTGTCCAA